TCCACGTCCACGTCCACGTCCACGTCCACGTCCACGTCCACGTCCACGTCCACGTCCACGTCCACGTCCCGTCCACGTCCACGTCCATGTCCACGTCCACGTCCACGTCCACGTCCATGTCCACGTCCATGTCCACGTCCACGTCCATGTCCACGTCCACGTCCATTCCACGTCCACGTCCACGTCCACGTCCAGTCCACGTCCACGTCCACGTCCATGTCCACGTCCACGTCCACGTCCACGTCCATGTCCACGTCCACGTCCACGTCCACGTCCACGTCCACGTCCACGTCCACGTCCACGTCCACGTCCACGTCCACGTCCATGTCCACGTCCACGTCCACGTCCACGTCCACGTTCCGTCCACGTCCACGTCCACGTCCACGTCCACGTCCACGTCCACGTCCACGTCCACGTCCACGTCCACGTCCATGTCCATGTCCACGTCCACGTCCACGTCCACGTCCGTCCACGTCCACGTCCACGTCCACGTCCATGTCCACGTCCATGTCCACGTCCATGTCCACGTCCACGTCCACGTCCACGTCCACGTCCACGTCCACGTCCACGTCCACGTCCACGTCCACGTCCACGTCCACGTCACGTCCACGTCCATGTCCACGTCCACGTCCACGTCCACGTCCATGTCCACGTCCACGTCCACGTCCACGTCCACGTCCATGTCCACGTCCACGTCCACGTCCATGTCCACGTCCACGTCCACGTCCACGTCCACGTCCACGTCCACGTCCACGTCCACGTCCACGTCCATGTCCACGTCCACGTCCACGTCCACGTCCATGTCCACGTCCACGTCCACGTCCATGTCCACGTCCACGTCCACGTCCACGTCCATGTCCACGTCCACGTCCACGTCCACGTCCACGTCCACGTCCATGTCCACGTCCATGTCCACGTCCACGTCCACGTCCACGTCCGTCCACGTCCACGTCCACGTCCACGTCCATGTCCACGTCCACGTCCACGTCCATGTCCACGTCCACGTCCACGTCCACGTCCACGTCCACGTCCACGTCCACGTCCACGTCCACGTCCACGTCCACGTCCACGTCCACGTCCACGTCCACGTCCATGTCCACGTCCACGTCCAGTCCACGTCCACGTCCACGTCCACGTCCACGTCCATGTCCACGTCCACGTCCACGTCCACGTCCATGTCCACGTCCACGTCCATGTCCACGTCCACGTCCACGTCCACGTCCACGTCCACGTCCACGTCCACGTCCACGTCCACGTCCATGTCCACGTCCACGTCCACGTCCACGTCCACGTCCACGTCCACGTCCACGTCCACGTCCATGTCCATGTCCACGTCCATGTCCACGTCCACGTCCACGTCCACGTCCATGTCCACGTCCACGTCCATGTCCACGTCCACGTCCATGTCCACGTCCACGTCCACGTCCACGTCCATGTCCACGTCCATGTCCACGTCCACGTCCACGTCCACGTCCACGTCCATGTCCACGTCCACGTCCACGTCCACGTCCACGTCCATGTCCACGTCCACGTCCACGTCCACGTCCACGTCCACGTCCACGTCCACGTCCACGTCCACGTCCATGTCCACGTCCACGTCCACGTCCACGTCCATGTCCACGTCCACGTCCATGTCCACGTCCACGTCCACGTCCATGTCCACGTCCACGTCCACGTCCACGTCCATGTCCACGTCCACGTCCACGTCCACGTCCACGTCCACGTCCACGTCCACGTCCACGTCCACGTCCATGTCCACGTCCACGTCACATTCCACGTCCACGTCCATGTCCACGTCCATGTCCACGTCCACGTCCATGTCCACGTACGTCCATGTCCACGTCCACGTCCATGTCCACGTCCATGTCCACGTCCACGTCCACGTCCACGTCCGTCCACGTCCACGTCCACGTCCACGTCCACGTCCACGTCCACGTCCACGTCCACGTCCACGTCCACGTCCACGTCCATGTCCACGTCCACGTCCACGTCCACGTCCATGTCCACGTCCACGTCCACGTCCACGTCCAGTCCACGTCCACGTCCATGTCCACGTCCACGTCCACGTCCACGTACACACGTCCACGTCCATGTCCACGTCCACGTCCACGTCCACGTCCACGTCCACGTCCACGTCCACGTCCACGTCCACGTCCATGTCCACGTCCACGTCCACGTCCACGTCCATGTCCATGTCCACGTCCACGTCCACGTCCACGTCCACGTCCATGTCCACGTCCACGTCGTCCATTTCACGTCCACGTCCACGTCCATGTCCACGTCCACGTCCACGTCCACGTCCACGTCCATGTCCACGTCACGTCCACGTCCACGTCCACGTCACGTCCACGTCCACGTCCACGTCCACGTCCACGTCCACGTCCACGTCCACGTCCACGTCCACGTCCACGTCCACGTCCATGTCCACGTCCACGTCCACGTCCACGTCCATGTCCACGTCCACGTCCATGTCCACGTCCACGTCCACGTCCACGTCCACGTCCACGTCCATGTCCACGTCCACGTCACGTCCACGTCCACGTCCACGTCCACGTCCACGTCCACGTCCACGTCCACGTCCACGTCCACGTCCACGTCCATGTCCACGTCCACGTCCACGTCCACGTCCACGTCCACGTCCATGTCCACGTCCACGTCCATGTCCACGTCCACGTCCACGTCCACGTCCACGTCCACGTCCATGTCCACGTCCACGTCCACGTCCACGTCCACGTCCATGTCCACGTCCACGTCCACGTCCACGTCCATGTCCACGTCCACGTCCACGTCCACGTCCACGTCCACGTCCACGTCCACGTCCACGTCCACGTCCACGTCCACGTCCACGTCCACGTCCACGTCCACGTCCACGTCCACGTCCACGTCCACGTCCACGTCCACGTCCACGTCCACGTCCACGTCCAAGTCCACGTCCACGTCCACGTCCATGTCCACGTCCACGTCCACGTCCCGTCCACGTCCATGTCCACGTCCATGTCCATGTCCACGTCCACGTCCACGTCCACGTCCACGTCCACGTCCACGTCCAAGTCCACGTCCAACGTCCACGTCCATGTCCACGTCCAAGTCCACGTCCACGTCCATGTCCATGTCCACGTCCACGTCCACGTCCACGTCCACGTCCACGTCCACGTCCACGTCCACGTCCACGTCCATGTCCACGTCCATGTCCACGTCCACGTCCACGTCCACGTCCACGTCACGTCCACGTCCATGTCCACGTCCACGTCCACGTCCACGTCCACGTCCACGTCCATGTCCACGTCCACGTCCACGTCCACGTCCATGTCCACGTCCACGTCCACGTCCACGTCCACGTCCACGTCCACGTCCATGTCCACGTCCACGTCCACGTCCACGTCCAGTCCACGTCCACGTCCACGTCCACGTCCACGTCCACGTCCACGTCCACGTCCACGTCCACGTCCATGTCCACGTCCACGTCCATGTCCACGTCCATGTCCACGTCCACGTCCACGTCCATGTCCACGTCCACGTCCACGTCCACGTCCAACGTCCACGTCCACGTCCACGTCCACGTCCACGTCCACGTCCACGTCCATGTCCCGTCCATGTCCACGTCCACGTCCACGTCCATGTCCACGTCCACGTCCACGTCCACGTCCACGTCCACGTCCACGTCCACGTCCACGTCCACGTCACGTCCACGTCCATGTCCACGTCCACGTCCACGTCCACGTCCACGTCCACGTCCACGTCCACGTCCACGTCCACGTCCACGTCCATGTCCACGTCCACGTCCATGTCCACGTCCACGTCCACGTCCACGTCCATGTCCCACGTCCACGTCCACGTCCACGTCCACGTCCACGTCCACGTCCACGTCCACGTCCACGTCCACGTCCACGTCCATGTCCACGTCCACGTCCACGTCCACGTCCACGTCCACGTCCACGTCCACGTCCACGTCCACGTCCATGTCCACGTCCAGTCCACGTCCACGTCCACGTCCACGTCCACGTCCACGTCCATGTCCACGTCCACGTCCACGTCCACGTCCACGTCCACGTCCACGTCCATGTCCACGTCCACGTCCACGTCCACGTCCATGTCCACGTCCACGTCCACGTCCACGTCCACGTCCACGTCCATGTCCACGTCCACGTCCACGTCCACGTCCACGTCCACGTCCATGTCCACGTCCACGTCCACGTCCACGTCCACGTCCACGTCCACGTCACATTCCACGTCCACGTCCACGTCCACGTCCATGTCCACGTCCCGTCCATGTCCACGTCCACGTCCACGTCCACGTCCACGTCCACGTCCACGTCCACGTCCACGTCCACGTCCACGTCCACGTCCACGTCCACGTCCACGTCCACGTCCACGTCCACGTCCATGTCCACGTCCACGTCCACGTCCACGTCCACGTCCACGTCCACGTCCACGTCCACGTCCATGTCCACGTCACGTCCACGTCCACGTCCCAGTCCACGTCCACGTCCACGTCCACGTCCATGTCCACGTCCACGTCCACGTCCACGTCCACGTCCACGTCCACGTCCACGTCCATGTCCACGTCCACGTCCACGTCCACGTCCACGTCCACGTCCACGTCCACGTCCACGTCCACGTCCACGTCAATTCCACGTCCACGTCCACGTCCACGTCACGTCCACGTCCACATTCCACGTCCACGTCCACGTCCACGTCCACGTCCACGTCCACGTCCACGTCCACGTCCACGTCCATGTCCACGTCCACGTCCACGTCCACGTCCATGTCCACGTCCACGTCCACGTCCATGTCCACGTCCACGTCCACGTCCACGTCCATGTCCACGTCCACGTCCACGTCCACGTCCATGTCCATGTCCACGTCCATGTCCACGTCCACGTCCACGTCCACGTCCACGTCCACGTCCACGTCCACGTCCATGTCCACGTCCACGTCCACGTCCACGTCCACGTCCACGTCCACGTCCACGTCCATGTCCACGTCCACGTCCACGTCCACGTCCACGTCCACGTCCACGTCCACGTCCACGTCCACGTCCACGTCCACGTCCACGTCCACGTCCATGTCCACGTCCACGTCCACGTCCACGTCCACGTCCACGTCCACGTCCATGTCCACGTCCACGTCCACGTCCACGTCCACGTCCACGTCCACGTCCACGTCCACGTCACGTCCACGTCCACGTCCACGTCCACGTCCATGTCCACGTCCACGTCCACGTCCATGTCCACGTCCACGTCCACGTCCACGTCCACGTCCACGTCCACGTCCACGTCCACGTCCACGTCCGTCCACGTCCACGTCCACGTCCACGTCCACGTCCACGTCCACGTCCACGTCCACGTCCACGTCCACGTCCACGTCCACGTCCACGTCCACGTCCACGTCCACGTCCACGTCCACGTCCACGTCCACGTCCACGTCCACGTCCATGTCCACGTCCACGTCCACGTCCACGTCCATGTCCATGTCCACGTCCACGTCCACGTCCACGTCCACGTCCACGTCCACGTCCACGTCCACGTCCACGTCCACGTCCATGTCCACGTCCACGTCCACGTCCACGTCCACGTCCACGTCCACGTCCACGTCCACGTCCACGTCCACGTCCACGTCCACGTCCACGTCCACGTCCACGTCCATGTCCACGTCCACGTCCACGTCCACGTCCATGTCCACGTCCACGTCCACGTCCACGTCCACGTCCACGTCCATGTCCACGTCCACGTCCACGTCCACGTCACGTCCACGTCCACGTCCACGTCCACGTCCACGTCCACGTCCACGTCCACGTCCACGTCCACGTCCACGTCCACGTCCACGTCCACGTCCACGTCCATGTCCACGTCCATGTCCACGTCCACGTCCACGTCCATGTCCACGTCACGTCCACGTCCACGTCCATGTCCACGTCCACGTCCACGTCCACGTCCACGTCCATGTCCACGTCCACGTCCACGTCCACGTCCATGTCCACGTCCACGTCCACGTCCACGTCCACGTCCACGTCCACGTCCATGTCCACGTCCACGTCCACGTCCACGTCCACGTCCACGTCCACGTCCACGTCCATGTCCACGTCCACGTCCACGTCCACGTCCACGTCCACGTCCACGTCCACGTCCACGTCCACGTCCACGTCCACGTCCACGTCCATGTCCACGTCCACGTCCACGTCCACGTCCACGTCCACGTCCACGTCCATGTCCACGTCCACGTCCACGTCCACGTCCACGTCCACGTCCACGTCCACGTCCACGTCCACGTCCATGTCCACGTCCACGTCCATGTCCACGTCCACGTCCACGTCCACGTCCATGTCCACGTCCACGTCCACGTCCACGTCCATGTCCACGTCCACGTCCACGTCCACGTCCACGTCCACGTCCACGTCCACGTCCACGTCCACGTCCACGTCCACGTCCATGTCCACGTCCACGTCCACGTCCACGTCCACGTCCACGTCCACGTCCACGTCCACGTCCACGTCCACGTCCACGTCCACGTCCACGTCCACGTCCACGTCCATGTCCACGTCCACGTCCACGTCCACGTCCACGTCCATGTCCACGTCCACGTCCACGTCCACGTCCATGTCCACGTCCACGTCCACGTCCACGTCCATGTCCACGTCCATGTCCACGTCCATGTCCACGTCCACGTCCACGTCCACGTCCATGTCCACGTCCACGTCCACGTCCACGTCCACGTCCACGTCCACGTCCACGTCCACGTCCACGTCCACGTCCACGTCCACGTCCATGTCCACGTCCATGTCCACGTCCACGTCCACGTCCACGTCCATGTCCAGTCCACGTCCACGTCCACGTCCACGTCCACGTCCACGTCCACGTCCACGTCCACGTCCACGTCCACGTCCACGTCCATGTCCACGTCCACGTCCAGTCCACGTCCACGTCCATGTCCACGTCCATGTCCACGTCCATGTCCACGTCCACGTCCACGTCCACGTCACGTCCACGTCCACGTCCACGTCCACGTCCACGTCCATGTCCATGTCCACGTCCATGTCCACGTCCACGTCCATGTCCACGTCCATGTCCACGTCCACGTCCACGTCCATGTCCATGTCCACGTCCATGTCCACGTCCACGTCCACGTCCACGTCCACGTCCATGTCCATGTCCACGTCCACGTCCACGTCCATTCCACGTCCACGTCCATGTCCACGTCCACGTCCACGTCCACGTCCACGTCCATGTCCACGTCCATGTCCACGTCCATGTCCACGTCCACGTCTACGTCCATGTCCATGTCCACGTCCACGTCCATGTCCACGTCCACGTCCACGTCCATGTCCACGTCCACGTCCACGTCCACGTCCATGTCCACGTCCATGTCCACGTCCATGTCCACGTCCACGTCCACGTCCATGTCCACGTCCACGTCCATGTCCATGTCCACGTCCACGTCCACGTCCATTTCCACGTCCACGTCCACGTCCATGTCCACGTCCACGTCCACGTCCACGTCCACGTCCACGTCCACGTCCATGTCCACGTCCACGTCCACGTCCACGTCCACGTCCACGTCCACGTCCACGTCCACGTCCACGTCCACGTCCACGTCCACGTCCATGTGCACGTCCATGTCCACGTCCACGTCCACGTCCACGTCCATGTCCACGTCCACGTCCAGTCCACGTCCACGTCCAAGTCCACGTCCACGTCCACGTCCACGTCCACGTCCACGTCCACGTCCACGTCCACGTCCACGTCCATGTCCACGTCCATGTCCACGTCCACGTCCACGTCCATGTCCACGTCCACGTCCACGTCCATGTCCACGTCCACGTCCATGTCCACGTCCACGTCCACGTCCACGTCCACGTCCACGTCCATGTCCACGTCCACGTCCACGTCCACGTCCATGTCCACGTCCATGTCCACGTCCATGTCCACGTCCACGTCCACGTCCACGTCCACGTCCAAGTCCATGTCCACGTCCACGTCCATGTCCACGTCCATGTCCACGTCCCCGTCCACGTCCACGTCCAAGTCCACGTCCATGTCCACGTCCATGTCCACGTCCATGTCCACGTCCATGTCCACGTCCACGTCCATGTCCACGTCCACGTCCACGTCCACGTCCAAGTCCACGTCCACGTCCACGTCCACGTCCACGTCCACGTCCACGTCCACCGTCCACGTCCACGTCCACGTCCACGTCCATGTCCACGTCCACGTCCACGTCCACGTCCACGTCCATGTCCACGTCCACGTCCACGTCCACGTCCACGTCCACGTCCACGTCCATGTCCACGTCCACGTCCACGTCCACGTCCACGTCCAAGTCCACGTCCATGTCCACGTCCACGTCCACGTCCACGTCCACGTCCACGTCCACGTCCAAGTCCACGTCCACGTCCACGTCAACGTCCACGTCCACGTCCACGTCCACGTCCATGTCCACGTCCACGTCCACGTCCACGTCCACGTCCACGTCCACGTCCACGTCCACGTCCACGTCCACGTCCACGTCCACGTCCACGTCCACGTCCATGTCCACGTCCCTGTCCACGTCCACGTCCACGTCCATGTCCACGTCCACGTCCATCTCCACGTCCACGTCCAAGTCCACGTCCATGTCCACGTCCACGTCCACGTCCACGTCCACGTCCACGTCCACGTCCACGTCCATGTCCACGTCCACGTCCACGTCCACGTCCACGTCCACGTCCACGTCCACGTCCACGTCCACGTCCACGTCCACGTCCACGTCCACGTCCACGTCCACGTCCACGTCCACGTCCATGTCCACGTCCACGTCCATGTCCACGTCCACGTCCACGTCCATGTCCACGTCCACGTCCACGTCCACGTCCACGTCCACGTCCAGTCCACGTCCACGTCCACGTCCACGTCCACGTCCATGTCCACGTCCACGTCCACGTCCACGTCCATGTCCACGTCCACGTCCACGTCCATTTCCACGTCCACGTCCACGTCCACGTCCACGTCCATGTCCACGTCCACGTCCACGTCCACGTCCACGTCCACGTCCACGTCCACGTCCACGTCCATGTCCACGTCCACGTCCATGTCCACGTCCACGTCCATGTCCACGTCCACGTCCACGTCCACGTCCACGTCCACGTCCATGTCCACGTCCACGTCCACGTCCACGTCCACGTCCACGTCCACGTCCATGTCCACGTCCACGTCCACGTCCACGTCCACGTCCATGTCCACGTCCACGTCCACGTCCACGTCCATGTCCACGTCCACGTCCATGTCCACGTCCACGTCCAAGTCCACGTCCATGTCCACGTCCATGTCCACGTCCACGTCCACGTTCACGTCCACGTCCATGTCCACGTCCACGTCCACGTCCACGTCCACGTCCACGTCCACGTCCACGTCCACGTCCACGTCCACGTCCACGTCCACGTCCATGTCCACGTCCACGTCCACGTCCATGTCCACGTCCATGTCCACGTCCACGTCCACGTCCATGTCCACGTCCACGTCCACGTCCACGTCCACGTCCACGTCCACGTCCACGTCCACGTCCACGTCCACGTCCACGTCCACGTCCATGTCCACGTCCATGTCCACGTCCATGTCCACGTCCACGTCCACGTCCACGTCCACGTCCACGTCCACGTCCACGTCCACGTCCATGTCCACGTCCACGTCCATGTCCACGTCCATGTCCACGTCCACGTCCACGTCCACGTCCACGTCCACGTCCATGTCCACGTCCACGTCCACGTCCACGTCCATGTCCACGTCCATGTCCACGTCCACGTCCACGTCCACGTCCACGTCCACGTCCACGTCCACGTCCATGTCCACGTCCACGTCCACGTCCACGTCCATGTCCACGTCCACGTCCACGTCCACGTCCATGTCCACGTCCACGTCCACGTCCACGTCCGTCCACGTCCACGTCCACGTCCACGTCCACGTCCACGTCCACGCACGTCCACGTCCACGTCCACGTCCACGTCCACGTCCATGTCCACGTCCACGTCCACGTCCACGTCCATGTCCACGTCCATGTCCACGTCCTGTCCACGTCCATGTCCACGTCCATGTCCACGTCCACGTCCACGTCCACGTCCACGTCCACGTCCATGTCCACGTCCACGTCCACGTCCACGTCCACGTCCATGTCCACGTCCATGTCCACGTCCATGTCCACGTCCATGTCCACGTCCACGTCCACGTCCACGTCCACGTCCATGTCCACGTCCACGTCCATGTCCACGTCCACGTCCACGTCCACGTCCACGTCCACGTCCACGTCCATTTCTACGTCCACGTCCATGTCCACGTCCACGTCCACGTCCACGTCCACGTCCACGTCCACGTCCAAGTCCACGTCCATGTCCACGTCCATGTCCACGTCCACGTCCACGTCCACGTCCACGTCCACGTCCACGTCCATGTCCACGTCCACGTCCACGTCCACGTCCACGTCCACGTCCACGTCCACGTCCATGTCCACGTCCACGTCCATGTCCACGTCCACGTCCATGTCCACGTCCATGTCCACGTCCACGTCCACGTCCACGTCCACGTCCACGTCCACGTCCACGTCCACGTCCACGTCCATGTCCACGTCCACGTCCACGTCCATGTCCACGTCCACGTCCATGTCCACGTCCACGTCCACGTCCAAGTCCACGTCCATGTCCACGTCCATGTCCACGTCCACGTCCACGTCCACGTCCACGTCCATGTCCACGTCCACGTCCACGTCCAAGTCCACGTCCACGTCCACGTCCATGTCCACGTCCACGTCCACGTCCATGTCCACGTCCACGTCCACGTCCATGTCCACGTCCACGTCCACGTCCACGTCCATGTCCACGTCCATGTCCACGTCCATGTCCACGTCCATGTCCACGTCCACGTCCACGTCCATGTCCACGTCCACGTCCACGTCCACGTCCACGTCCACGTCCACGTCCACGTCCACGTCCACGTCCACGTCCACGTCCACGTCCACGTCCACGTCCATGTCCACGTCCACGTCCACGTCCATTTCCACGTCCACGTCCACGTCCATTCCACGTCCACGTCCACGTCCACGTCCACGTCCACGTCCATGTCCACGTCCACGTCCATGTCCACGTCCACGTCCACGTCCACGTCCACGTCCATGTCCACGTCCATGTCCACGTCCATGTCCACGTCCACGTCCACGTCCACGTCCACGTCCATGTCCACGTCCACGTCCACGTCCATGTCCACGTCCACGTCCACGTCCATGTCCATGTCCACGTCCACGTCCACGTCCACGTCCACGTCCATGTCCACGTCCACGTCCACGTCCACGTCCACGTCCACGTCCATGTCCACGTCCACGTCCATGTCCACGTCCACGTCCATGTCCACGTCCACGTCCACGTCCACGTCCACGTCCATGTCCATGTCCACGTCCACGTCCACGTCCACGTCCATGTCCACGTCCACGTCCACGTCCACGTCCACGTCCACGTCCACGTCCACGTCCATGTCCACGTCCACGTCCACGTCCATGTCCACGTCCACGTCCACGTCCACGTCCATGTCCACGTCCACGTCCACGTCCACGTCCATGTCCACGTCCACGTCCACGTCCACGTCCATGTCCACGTCCACGTCCACGTCCACGTCCATGTCCACGTCCATGTCCACGTCCATGTCCACGTCCACGTCCACGTCCACGTCCACGTCCACGTCCACGTCCATGTCCACGTCCACGTCCACGTCCACGTCCATGTCCACGTCCACGTCCACGTCCACGTCCATGTCCACGTCCATGTCCACGTCCACGTCCATGTCCACGTCCATGTCCACGTCCATGTCCACGTCCACGTCCACGTCCACGTCCACGTCCACGTCCACGTCCATGTCCATGTCCACGTCCACGTCCACGTCCACGTCCACTGTCCACGTCCACGTCCACGTCCATCCACGTCCATGTCCACGTCCACGTCCACGTCCACGTCCACGTCCATGTCCACGTCCATGTCCACGTCCACGTCCACGTCCACGTCCACGTCCACGTCCATGTCCACGTCCACGTCCATGTCCACGTCCACGTCCACGTCCACGTCCATGTCCACGTCCACGTCCACGTCCATGTCCACGTCCACGTCCACGTCCACGTCCATGTCCACGTCCACGTCCACGTCCACGTCCATGTCCACGTCCACGTCCACGTCCACGTCCACGTCCATGTCCACGTCCACGTCCACGTCCATGTCCACGTCCACGTCCACGTCCACGTCCACGTCCACGTCCACGTCCACGTCCATGTCCACGTCCATGTCCACGTCCACGTCCACGTCCACGTCCATGTCCACGTCCACGTCCACGTCCACGTCCACGTCCACGTCCACGTCCACGTCCACGTCCACGTCCATGTCCACGTCCACGTCCACGTCCATGTCCACGTCCACGTCCACGTCCACGTCCACGTCCACGTCCACGTCCACGTCCAGTCCACGTCCACGTCCACGTCCAGTCCACGTCCATGTCCACGTCCACGTCCACGTCCATTTCCACGTCCACGTCCACGTCCACGTCCACGTCCACGTCCACGTCCAAGTCCACGTCCATGTCCACGTCCATGTCCACGTCCACGTCCACGTCCCGTCCATGTCCACGTCCACGTCCACGTCCACGTCCACGTCCACGTCCACGTCCATGTCCACGTCCATGTCCACGTCCACGTCCACGTCCACGTCCACGTCCACGTCCACGTCCATGTCCACGTCCACGTCCACGTCCACGTCCACGTCCACGTCCACGTCCACGTCCACGTCCATGTCCACGTCCACGTCCATGTCCACGTCCACGTCCATGTCCACGTCCACGTCCACGTCCACGTCCACGTCCACGTCCACGTCCACGTCCACGTCCACGTCCACGTCCACGTCCACGTCCATGTCCACGTCCATGTCCACGTCCACGTCCATGTCCACGTCCACGTCCACGTCCATGTCCACGTCCACGTCCACGTCCACGTCCATGTCCACGTCCACGTCCATGTCCACGTCCACGTCCACGTCCATGTCCACGTCCACGTCCACGTCCACGTCCATGTCCACGTCCACGTCCACGTCCACGTCCACGTCCACGTCCACGTCCACGTCCACGTCCATGTCCACGTCCACGTCCACGTCCACGTCCACGTCCATGTCCACGTCCACGTCCACGTCCATGTCCACGTCCACGTCCACGTCCACGTCCACGTCCACGTCCATGTCCACGTCCACGTCCACGTCACGTCCACGTCCACGTCCAAGTCCACGTCCATGTCCACGTCCATGTCCACGTCCACGTCCACGTCCACGTCCACGTCCACGTCCACGTCCACGTCCACGTCCACGTCCACGTCCATGTCCACGTCCACGTCCACGTCCACGTCCATGTCCACGTCCACGTCCATGTCCACGTCCACGTCCACGTCCACGTCCACGTCTACGTCCATGTCCATGTCCACGTCCACGTCCACGTCCATTTCCACGTCCACGTCCACGTCCACGTCCACGTCCACGTCCATGTCCACGTCCATGTCCACGTCCACGTCCACGTCCACGTCTACGTCCCTGTCCATGTCCACGTCCACGTCCATGTCCACGTCCACGTCCACGTCCACGTCCACGTCCACGTCCAGGTCCATGTCCACGTCCACGTCCACGTCCACGTCCATGTCCATGTCCACGTCCATGTCCACGTCCACGTCCACGTCCACGTCCACGTCCACGTCCATGTCCACGTCCACGTCCACGTCCATCACGTCCACGTCCACGTCCACGTCCATGTCCACGTCCACGTCCACGTCCACGTCCATGTCCACGTCCACGTCCACGTCCACGTCCACGTCCACGTCCACGTCCACGTCCATGTCCACGTCCATGTCCACGTCCATGTCCACGTCCATGTCCACGTCCACGTCCACGTCCATGTCCACGTCCATGTCCACGTCCACGTCCACGTCCACGTCCACGTCCATGTCCACGTCCACGTCCACGTCCACGTCCATGTCCACGTCCATGTCCACGTCCACGTCCACGTCCACGTCCACGTCCACGTCCACGTCCACGTCCACGTCCACGTCCACGTCCACGTCCACGTCCACGTCCACGTCCACGTCCACGTCCACGTCCACGTCCACGTCCACGTCCACGTCCACGTCCACGTCCACGTCCACGTCCACGTCCACGTCCACGTCCACGTCCACGTCCACGTCCACGTCCACGTCCACGTCCACGTCCACGTCCACGTCCACGTCCATGTCCACGTCCACGTCCAAGTCCACGTCCACGTCCACGTCCACGTCCACGTCCACGTCCACGTCCACGTCCATGTCCACGTCCATGTCCACGTCCATGTCCACGTCCACGTCCACGTCCACGTCCACGTCCATGTCCACGTCCACGTCCACGTCCATGTCCACGTCCACGTCCACGTCCACGTCCATGTCCACGTCCACGTCCACGTCCACGTCCACGTCCACGTCCATGTCCACGTCCACGTCCACGTCCACGTCCACGTCCACGTCCACGTCCACGTCCACGTCCACGTCCACGTCCACGTCCACGTCCACGTCCATGTCCACGTCCACGTCCACGTCCACGTCCATGTCCACGTCCACGTCCACGTCCACGTCCATGTCCACGTCCACGTCCACGTCCACGTCCATGTCCACGTCCATGTCCACGTCCACGTCCACGTCCACGTCCACGTCCACGTCCACGTCCACGTCCACGTCCACGTCCACGTCCATGTCCACGTCCACGTCCACGTCCATGTCCACGTCCACGTCCACGTCCATGTCCACGTCCACGTCCACGTCCACGTCCACGTCCATGTCCACGTCCACGTCCACGTCCATGTCCACGTCCACGTCCACGTCCACGTCCATGTCCACGTCCACGTCCACGTCCACGTCCACGTCCACGTCCACGTCCATGTCCACGTCCACGTCCATGTCCACGTCCACGTCCACGTCCACGTCCACGTCCACGTCCACGTCCACGTCCACGTCCACGTCCACGTCCACGTCCACGTCCACGTCCACGTCCACGTCCATGTCCACGTCCATGTCCACGTCCACGTCCACGTCCACGTCCACGTCCATGTCCACGTCCACGTCCACGTCCACGTCCATGTCCACGTCCATGTCCACGTCCACGTCCACGTCCACGTCCACGTCCACGTCCACGTCCACGTCCACGTCCACGTCCACGTCCACGTCCACGTCCACGTCCATGTCCACGTCCACGTCCACGTCCACGTCCATGTCCACGTCCATGTCCACGTCCATGTCCACGTCCACGTCCACGTCCACGTCCACGTCCATGTCCACGTCCACGTCCACGTCCACGTCCACGTCCACGTCCACGTCCACGTCCACGTCCACGTCCACGTCCACGTCCACGTCCACGTCCACGTCCACGTCCACGTCCACGTCCACGTCCACGTCCACGTCCACGTCCACGTCCACGTCCACGTCCACGTCCACGTCCATGTCCACGTCCACGTCCACGTCCACGTCCACGTCCACGTCCACGTCCACGTCCACGTCCACGTCCACGTCCATGTCCACGTCCACGTCCACGTCCACGTCCACGTCCACGTCCATGTCCACGTCCACGTCCACGTCCATGTCCACGTCCACGTCCACGTCCACGTCCACGTCCACGTCCATGTCCACGTCCACGTCCACGTCCACGTCCACGTCCAGTCCACGTCCATGTCCACGTCCACGTCCACGTCCACGTCCACGTCCACGTCCACGTCCACGTCCATGTCCATGTCCACGTCCACGTCCACGTCCACGTCCACGTCCACGTCCACGTCCACGTCCACGTCCACGTCCACGTCCACGTCCACGTCCACGTCCACGTCCATGTCCACGTCCACGTCCACGTCCACGTCCACGTCCACGTCCACGTCCACGTCCACGTCCATGTCCACGTCCACGTCCACGTCCACGTCCACGTCCACGTCCACGTCCACGTCCATGTCCACGTCCACGTCCACGTCCATGTCCACGTCCACGTCCATGTCCACGTCCACGTCCACGTCCACGTCCACGTCCACGTCCACGTCCACGTCCACGTCCACGTCCATGTCCACGTCCATGTCCACGTCCACGTCCACGTCCACGTCCACGTCCACGTCCACGTCAACGTCCATGTCCACGTCCATGTCCACGTCCATGTCCACGTCCACGTCCACGTCCACGTCCACGTCCACGTCCACGTCCACGTCCATTTCCACGTCCACGTCCACGTCCACGTCCATGTCCACGTCCACGTCCACGTCCATGTCCACGTCCACGTCCACGTCCATTTCCACGTCCACGTCCACGTCCACGTCCACGTCCACGTCCATGTCCACGTCCACGTCCACGTCCACGTCCACGTCCACGTCCACGTCCATGTCCACGTCCATGTCCACGTCCACGTCCACGTCCACGTCCACGTCCACGTCCACGTCCACGTCCACGTCCACGTCCATGTCCACGTCCACGTCCACGTCCACGTCCATGTCCACGTCCACGTCCATGTCCACGTCCACGTCCACGTCCACGTCCACGTCCACGTCCATGTCCATGTCCACGTCCACGTCCACGTCCATTCCACGTCCACGTCCACGTCCACGTCCACGTCCATGTCCACGTCCATGTCCACGTCCACGTCCACGTCCACGTCCACGTCCATGTCCACGTCCACGTCCACGTCCATGTCCACGTCCACGTCCACGTCCACGTCCATGTCCACGTCCACGTCCACGTCCACGTCCATGTCCACGTCCACGTCCATGTCCACGTCCACGTCCACGTCCACGTCCACGTCCATGTCCACGTCCACGTCCACGTCCACGTCCATTTCCACGTCCACGTCCACGTCCACGTCCACGTCCACGTCCACGTCCACGTCCACGTCCATGTCCACGTCCACGTCCACGTCCACGTCCACGTCCACGTCCACGTCCACGTCCACGTCCATGTCCACGTCCATGTCCACGTCCACGTCCACGTCCATGTCCACGTCCACGTCCACGTCCATGTCCACGTCCATGTCCACGTCCACGTCCACGTCCATGTCCACGTCCACGTCCATGTCCACGTCCACGTCCACGTCCACGTCCATGTCCACGTCCACGTCCACGTCCACGTCACGTCCACGTCCACGTCCACGTCCACGTCCACGTCCACGTCCACGTCCACGTCCACGTCCACGTCCACGTCCACGTCCACGTCCACGTCCATGTCCACGTCCACGTCCATGTCCACGTCCACGTCCACGTCCATGTCCACGTCCACGTCCATGTCCACGTCCACGTCCATGTCCACGTCCACGTCCACGTCCACGTCCACGTCCATGTCCACGTCCACGTCCACGTCCACGTCCACGTCCATGTCCACGTCCACGTCCACGTCCACGTCCACGTCCACGTCCATGTCCACGTCCACGTCCACGTCCACGTCCACGTCCATGTCCACGTCCACGTCCACGTCCACGTCCACGTCCATGTCCACGTCCACGTCCATGTCCACGTCCACGTCCACGTCCACGTCCACGTCCACGTCCACGTCCACGTCCACGTCCATGTCCACGTCCACGTCCATGTCCACGTCCACGTCCACGTCCACGTCCACGTCCACGTCCACGTCCATGTCCACGTCCACGTCCACGTCCATGTCCACGTCCACGTCCACGTCCACGTCCATGTCCACGTCCACGTCCACGTCCATGTCCACGTCCACGTCCACGTCCACGTCCACGTCCACGTCCACGTCCACGTCCACGTCCACGTCCACGTCCACGTCCATGTCCACGTCCACGTCCACGTCCACGTCCATGTCCACGTCCACGTCCACGTCCACGTCCACGTCCACGTCCACGTCCACGTCCACGTCCACGTCCACGTCCACGTCCATGTCCACGTCCACGTCCACGTCCACGTCCATGTCCACGTCCACGTCCACGTCCACGTCCACGTCCACGTCCACGTCCACGTCCACGTCCATGTCCACGTCCACGTCCACGTCCACGTCCACGTCCACGTCCATGTCCACGTCCACGTCCACGTCCACGTCCACGTCCACGTCCACGTCCATGTCCATGTCCACGTCCATGTCCACGTCCATGTCCACGTCCACGTCCACGTCCACGTCCACGTCCACGTCCACGTCCACGTCCATGTCCACGTCCATGTCCACGTCCATGTCCACGTCCATGTCCACGTCCACGTCCACGTCCATGTCCACGTCCACGTCCACGTCCACGTCCACGTCCACGTCCATGTCCACGTCCACGTCCATGTCCACGTCCACGTCCAAGTCCACGTCCATGTCCACGTCCATGTCCACGTCCACGTCACGTCCACGTCCACGTCCACGTCCACGTCCACGTCCACGTCCACGTCCACGTCCACGTCCACGTCCACGTCCACGTCCACGTCCATGTCCACGTCCACGTCCACGTCCATGTCCACGTCCACGTCCACGTCCACGTCCATGTCCACGTCCACGTCCATGTCCACGTCCACGTCCATGTCCACGTCCACGTCCACGTCCACGTCCACGTCCATGTCCACGTCCACGTCCACGTCCACGTCCACGTCCATGTCCACGTCCACGTCCACGTCCACGTCCACGTCCACGTCCATGTCCACGTCCACGTCCACGTCCACGTCCACGTCCATGTCCACGTCCACGTCCACGTCCACGTCCACGTCCATGTCCACGTCCACGTCCATGTCCACGTCCACGTCCACGTCCACGTCCATGTCCACGTCCACGTCCATGTCCACGTCCACGTCCACGTCCATGTCCACGTCCACGTCCACGTCCACGTCCACGTCCATGTCCACGTCCACGTCCACGTCCACGTCCACGTCCACGTCCACGTCCACGTCCACGTCCACGTCCACGTCCATGTCCACGTCCACGTCCACGTCCACGTTCATGTCCACGTCCACGTCCACGTCCACGTCCACGTCCACGTCCACGTCCACGTCCACGTCCACGTCCACGTCCATGTCCACGTCCACGTCCACGTCCACGTCCATGTCCACGTCCACGTCCACGTCCACGTCCACGTCCACGTCCATGTCCACGTCCACGTCCATGTCCACGTCCACGTCCACGTCCACGTCCACGTCCACGTTCATGTCCACGTACACGTCCACGTCCACGTCCACGTCCACGTCCATGACCATGTCCACGTCCATGTCCACGTCCACGTCCACGTCCACGTCCACGTCCACGTTCATGTCCACGTCCACGTCCACGTCCACGTTCATGTCCACGTACACGTCCACGTCCACGTCCACGTCCACGTCCACGTCCAAGTCCACGTCCACGTCCACGTCCACGACCACGTCCACGTCCACGTCCACGTCCACGTCCACGTCCACGTCCACGTCCACGTCCACGTCCACGTCCACGTCCACGTCCACGTCCATGTCCACGTCCACGTCCATGTCCACGTCCACGTCCACGTCCACGTCGTCCACCACGTCCACCTCCATGTCCACGTCCATGTCCACCTCCATGTCCACGTCCACGTCCACGTCCACGTCCACGTCCACGTCTACGTCCACGTCCATGTCCACGTCCACGTCCATGTCCATTTCCACGTCCACGTCCATGTCCACGTCCAAGTCCACGTCCATGTCCACGTCCACGTCCACGTCCACGTCCACGTCCATGTCCACGTCCACGTCCACTCCACGTCCACGTCCACGTACACGTCCACGTACACGTCCACGTCCACGTCCACGTACACGTCCACGTCCACGTCCATGACCATGTCCACGTCCATGTCCACGTCCACGTCCACGTCCACGTCCACGTCCACGTTCATGTCCACGTACACGTCCACGTCCACGTCCACGTCCACGTCCATGACCATGTCCACGTCCATGTCCACGTCCACGTCCACGTCCACGTCCACGTCCACGTTCATGTCCACGTACACGTCCACGTCCACGTCCACGTCCACGTCCATGTCCACGTCCAAGTCCACGTCCACGTCCACGTCTACGACCACGTCCACGTCCACGTCCACGTCCACGTCCACGTCCACGTCCACGTACACGTCCACGTCCACGTCCACGTCCACGTCCACGTCCATGTCCACGTCCACGTCCATGTCCACGTCCACGTCCACGTCCACGTCCACGTCCACGTCCTCGTCCACGTCCTCGTCCACGTCCATGTCCACGTCCACGTCCACGTCCACGTCCACGTCCACGTCCACGTCCATTTCTACGTCCACGTCCACGTCCACGTCCACGTCCTCGTCCACGTCCACGTCCACGTCCACGTCCATGACCATGTCCACGTCCATGTCCACGTCCACGTCCACGTCCACGTCCACGTCCACGTTCATGTCCACGTACACGTCCACGTCCACGTCATGTCCACGTACACGTCCACGTCCACGTCCACGTCCACGTCCAAGTCCACGTCCACGTCCACGTCCACGACCACGTCCACGTCCACGTCCACGTCCACGTCCACGTCCACGTACACGTACACGTCCACGTCCACGTCCACGTCCACGTCCATGTCCACGTCCACGTCCATGTCCACGTCCACGTCCACGTCCACGTCCACGTCCACGTCCACGTCCACCTCCATGTCCACCTCCATGTCCACGTCCATGTCCACGTCCACGTCCACGTCCACGTCCACGTCCACGTCTACGTCCACGTCCATGTCCACGTCTACGTCCATGTCCATTTCTACGTCCACGTCCATGTCCACGTCCAAGTCCACGTCCATGTCCACGTCCACGTCCACGTCCACGTCCATGTCCACGTCCACGTCCACTTCCACGTCCACGTCCACGTACACGTCCACGTACACGTCCACGTCCACGTCCACGTCCACGTCCACGTCCACGTCCACGTCCATGTCCACGTCCATGTCCACGTCCACGTCCACGTCCACGTCCACGTCCACGTCCACGTTCATGTCCACGTACACGTCCACGTCCACGTCCACGTCCACGTCCATGACCATGTCCACGTCCATGTCCACGTCCACGTCCACGTCCACGTCCACGTCCACGTTCATGTCCACGTACACGTCCACGTCCACGTCCACGTCCACGTCCATGTCCACGTCCAAGTCCACGTCCACGTCCACGTCTACGACCACGTCCACGTCCACGTCCACGTCCACATCCACGTCCACGTCCACGTACACGTACACGTCCACGTCCACGTCCACGTCCATGTCCACGTCCATGTCCACGTCCACGTCCACGTCCACGTCCACGTCCACGTCCACGTCCATGTCCACGTCCACGTCCACGTCCACGTCCACGTCCACGTCTACGTCCACGTCCACGTCCACGTCCACGTCCATGTCCACGTCCACGTCCACGTCCACGTCCAGGTCCACGTCCATGTCCACGTCCACGTCCACGTCCACGTCCACGTCTACGTCCACGTCCACGTCCACGTCCAGGTCCATGTCCACGTCCACGTCCACGTCCACGTCCACGTCCATGTCCACGTCCACGTCCATGTCCACGTCCACGTCCACGTCCACGTCTACGTCCATGTCCACGTCCACGTCCACGTCCACGTCCACGTCCACGTCCACGTCCACGTCCACCTCCATGTCCACCTCCATGTCCACCTCCATGTCCACGTCCACGTCCACGTCCACGTCCACGTCCATGTCCACGTCCACGTCTTCGTCCATGTCCACGTCCACGTCCACGTCCACGTCCATGTCCACGTCCACGTCCACGTCCACGTCCACGTCCACGTCCACGTCTACGTCCACGTCCATGTCCACGTCCACGTCCACGTCCATTTCTACGTCCACGTCCACGTCCACGTCCATGTCCACGTCCACGTCCACGTCCACGTCCACGTCCACGTCCACGTCCATGTCCACGTCCACGTCCAGGTCCGTTTCTACGTCCACGTCCACGTCCACGTCCATGTACATGTCCACGTCCACGTCCACGTCCACGTCCACGTCCATGTCCACGTCCAGGTCCACGTCCACGTCCATGTCCACGTTCATGTCCATGTCCACGTCCACGTCCACGTCCACGTCCATGTCCACGTCCATGTCCACGTCTACGTCCACGTCCACGTCCACGTCCACGTCCACGTCCATGTCCACGTCCACGTCCACGTCCACGTCCACGTCCACGTCTACGTCCACGTCCACGTCCTCGTCCACGTCCACGTCCATGTCTACGTCCACGTCCACGTCCACGTCCAGGTCCACGTCCATGTCCACGTCCACGTCCACGTCCACGTCCACGTCCACGTCCACGTCCACGTCCACGTCCACGTCCACGTCCACGTCCACGTCCATGTCCACGTCCACGTCCACGTCCACGTCCATGTCCACGTCCACGTCCATGTCCACGTCCACGTCCACGTCCACGTCTACGTCCATGTCCACGTCCACGTCCACGTCCAGGTCCACGTCCACGTCCACGTCCACGTCCACGTCCATGTCCACGTCCACGTCCACGTCCACGTCCACCTCCATGTCCACCTCCATGTCCACCTCCATGTCCACGTCCACGTCCACGTCCACGTCCATGTCCACGTCCACGTCTTCCTCCATGTCCACGTCCACGTCCACGTCCACGTCCACGTCCATGTCCACGTCCACGTCCACGTCCACGTCCACGTCCACGTCTACGTCCACGTTCATGTCCACGTCCACGTCCACGTCCATTTCTACGTCCACGTCCACGTCCACGTCCATGTCCACGTCCACGTCCACGTCCACGTCCACGTCCACGTCCATGTCCACGTCCACGTCCATGTCCACGTCCACGTCCACGTCCACGTCCACGTCCATGTCCACGTCCATGTCCACGTCCACGTCCACGTCCACGTCCATGTCCACGTCCACGTCCACGTCCAAGTCCACGTCCATGTCCACGTCCACGTCCACGTCCACGTCCACGTCCATGTCCACGTCCACGTCCAGGTCCGTTTCTACGTCCACGTCCACGTCCATGTCCGCGTCCACGTCCACGTCCACGTCCACGTCCATGTCCCCGTCCACGTCTACGTCCATGTCCACGTCCATGTCCATGTCCACGTCCACGTCCACGTCCACGTCCACGTCCATGTCCACGTCCATGTCCACGTCCACGTCCACGTCCATGTCCACGTCCACGTCCACGTCCACGTCCACGTCCACGTCTACGTCCACGTCCATGTCCACGTCCACGTCCACGTCCACGTCCATGTCCACGTCCACGTCCACGTCCACGTCTACGTCCATGTCCACGTCCACGTCCACGTCCACGTCCATGTCCACGTCCACGTCCACGTCCACGTCCACGTCCACGTCCACGTCCACGTCCATGTCCACGTCCACGTCCACGTCCATGTCCACGTCCATGTCCACGTCCACGTCCACGTCCATGTCCACGTCCACGTCCACGTCCACGTCCATGTCCACATCCATGTCCACGTCCACGTCCACGTCCACGTCCATGTCCACGTCCACGTCCACGTCCAAGTCCACGTCCATGTCCACGTCCACGTCCACGTCCACGTCCACGTCCATGTCCACGTCCACGTCCAGGTCCGTTTCTACGTCCACGTCCACGTCCACGTCCATGTCCACGTCCACGTCCACGTCCACGTCCATGTCCCCGTCCACGTCTACGTCCATGTCCACGTCCATCTCCACGTCCATGTCCACGTCCACGTCCACGTCCACGTCCATGTCCACGTCCATGTCCACGTCCACGTCCACGTCCATGTCCACGTCCACGTCCACGTCCACGTCCACGTCCACGTCTACGTCCACGTCCATGTCCACGTCCACGTCCACGTCCACGTCCATGTCCACGTCCACGTCCACGTCCACGTCTACGTCCATGTCCACGTCCATGTCCACGTCCACGTCCATGTCCACGTCCACGTCCACGTCCACGTCCACGTCTACGTCCACGTCCATGTCCACGTCCACGTCCACGTCCACGTCCACGTCCACGTCCACGTCCATGTCCACGTCCACGTCCACGTCCACGTCCATGTCCACGTCCATGTCCACGTCCACGTCCACGTCCATGTCCACGTCCACGTCCAGGTCCACGTCCACGTCCATGTCCATGTCCACGTCCACGTCCACGTCCACGTCCACGTCCATGTCCACGTCCATGTCCACGTCCACGTCCACGTCCATGTCCATGTCCACGTCCATGTCCACGTCCACGTCCATGTCCACGTCCATGTCCATGTCCACGACCATGTCCATGTCCACGTCCACGTCCATGTCCACGTCCACGTCCATGTCCACGACCACGTCCACGTCCATGTCCACGTCCATGTCCACGTCCACGTCCACGTCCATGTCCACGTCCATGTCCATGTCCACGTCCACGTCCATGTCCACGTCCACGTCCACGTCCATGTCCACGTCCATGTCCACTTCCATTTCCATGTCCACGTCCATGTCCACGTCCACACCCACGTCCACGTCCACGTCCATGTCTACGTCCATGTCCACGTCCATGTCCACGTCCACGTCCACGTCCATGTCCACGTCCACGTCCACGTCCATGTCCACGTCCATGTCCACGTCCACGTCCACGTCCATGTCCACGTCCACGTCCACGTCCATGTCCACGTCCATGTCCACGTCCACGTCCACGTCCATGTCCACGTCCACGTCCACGTCCATGTCCATGTCCACGTCCACGTCCACGTCCACGTCCATGTCCACGTACACGTCCACGTCCATGTCCACGTCCATGTCCACGTCCATGTCCACGTCCACGTCCACGTCCACGTCCACGTCCACGTCCAAGTCCACGTCCACGTCCACGTCCACGTCCACGTCCACGTCCACGTCCACGTCCACGTCCACGTCCACGTCCGCGTCCACGTCCGCGTCCACGTCCACGACCATTTCCATGTTCACGTCCACGTCCACGTCCACGTCCACGTCCACGTCCATGTCCATGTCCACGTCCACGTCCACGTCCACGTCCACGTCCACGTCCACGTCCAGGTCCACGTCCACGTCCACGTCCACGTCCATGTCCACGTCCACGTCCACTTCCACGTCCACGTCCACGTCCACGTCCATGTCCACGTCCACGTCCACGTCCACGTCCACGTCCATGTCCATGTCCACGTCCACGTCCACGTCCACGTCCACGTCCACGTGAATGGGGCAGGGTGAAGGAAAGCGGGAGAATGGGGCGGGGTGATGGAAAGCAGAAGAATGGGGCGGGGTGATGGAAAGCGGGAGAATGTGGCGGGTGATGGAAAGGGGAGAATGGGGCGGGGTGATGGAAGGAGGGAGAATGGGGAGGGGTGATGGAAAGGGGGGGAATGGGAT